ACACACACATTAATCTTAATAATTTACTTCCCTTTGTTAACTAATGGTATATGTTTTCCTTTATATCAACTTCATGGGTTTCCAGTTCTTATAAAATTATATATATACAGTGATAACTAGTCCGGAAGGGAGGAAAAGTATGCTGAAGCTGGCACAAAGAATGGTGATGAGCTTCTGCACTGGTGTGGGTGCTTCTACTGCCCATGCATGGACAACATTATCAGCAACAGGTTCAGATGATGTGAGGGTCATGACCAGAAAAAGTATGGATGATCCTGGCAGGCCTCCTGGGATTGTGCTTAGTGCTGCAACTTCCTTCTGGATTCCAGTCCCTCCCAAGAGAGTTTTTGATTTCCTGCGAGATGAGAACTCTCGTACTGAGGTATAGATATTAATTAAACATGATATGCATCCCAAATATTAGGGCATTTCCGATTAAACATACATATTCATTTAATTTGTGTCATACAATCTTCAGTGGGATATACTTTCAAACGGTGGCCTAGTGCAAGAGATGGCACATATAGCTAATGGTCGTGATCCAGGCAACAGTGTCTGCCTACTGAGGGTTAATGTAAGTCTCCTAGAACATATACGCATCGAGAGTGTGAATTTAAACTATTGGTCAAGTTAATTATTGAATGATTGTGCGGTTCAAATTTACAGTATGACATGATAAATATACGTGTGATAGTATAAATATCATCATAAATATATAAATATCCTCCTAATTAATTTCGTGTTGCAGAGTGCAAATTCAAGCCAAAGCAACATGCTGATACTTCAGGAGAGCTGCACAGATTCAACAGGGTCATACGTGATTTATGCTCCAGTTGATATTGTGGCCATGAATGTTGTGTTGAGTGGTGGAGATCCAGATTATGTTGCACTTCTGCCATCTGGTTTTGCCATCCTACCAGACGGGCCTACTGGGCCCGCAGGAGGAGGAGGAGGAGGAATTCTTGATGTTGGGTCTGGTGGGTCCCTACTCACCGTCGCATTTCAGATCTTGGTAGATTCAGTTCCTACTGCCAAACTCTCTCTGGGATCTGTGGCCACTGTTAACAATCTAATTAAGTGCACGGTTGAGCGGATTAGGGCTGCGGTCACATGTGAACAGAACGCATGACAATTAGCTAGATAGCCTTTATAGATGGTGAGCTCACTTATTTATTAGTTAATTTTTGGTTTTTAAGAAATTTCACTTGACTAATTACATTTAAATTTCGCTGTCTTTGCAGTGGGAAAGAGGTAGAAAAGGAAAGGAAAGAATGGTGTGGTGGGTTTACTCAGAAATTGAACGTTACAAGGGGAAGAAGTCAAGAACGCACCTTTGTAATATCCTTGTGTCGTGGTGTTTTGGTGAGGCAGAAGCCAAAAAAACGCAAATCACCACCTCACAAGGGTAGTGGGTTCGGGTATTGACTTTCCCTAAACAAAGAGGAAAGTAAACTCTCATCCCTTGTTAATTGTTAGTTTATAAAGTTCAGAATAACTCTGTTCACCTTAAATTTACTGTTTTGCCCTAGGATTAGGGGGTTAGGGTTAGGAGATTAGGGTTCATTGTAGTAGGGTGGTAAGTTTATAACTGTTTAAGCGTCTTACTTTCCTTGTCATTTATGTGTCTAAAAGAGGTAATGTTTAGTTGGATTTTTGAAATCACATTAACAATGGTTTCAATTTCACATGTTTTGTAACTTCCAGAGTTGTTAGGGTTATTTTTGTTTATGTGGTAATTAATTATCATATCCAGAAATCATGGATGCTGGATTAAGGAAAAATGAGCATATAATCTTCTTGCTAAGATTTTATTTGGGGCACGACATCGTATCATGATCATCGTTGCCAACTCCAATTACTTCGGATATGAATGAATGAAAGATCAATTTGATTCTTGAACACTCATAATATCTTAACCAGCCCCTTAAGTTACCTAGACAAATAAATTATCCGTAAATGCCCATGAGTTTTAGTTCATGTTCCTTGGGGATAAGACAAGCAAGCGCATCCTTCGTTGTATGTGAAAATAATAATAAATAAAGCTGAGTTCTTCAAGTCAATGAGAGAAGCTCTCATGCAACGGGATATCACTTTTTTCTATCCTCGGCCAATAACGCAATGACATATAAGAGAACTTTTTCACGTATTAATGTATTATTAGTTGGAAATAGCAAAACAGTGATATTCCCATTATAAGTGAGTGTTTTTGCCCACATGCTGAAAAGGCTGTGTACTTGCTGATTTGATTGATTAACAATATATATACAGCAATATTTTACTAATGCAACCGCGTACGTTTTAGGAAGTGACAGCAACATCGGTTATAGCTTGCCTTTTTGATGCCATATATAAATTGCTTGTTTGTGTTGAGATATTTCGAGTAATAAAATCACAGCATCATCTCTTCTCACTCACTCTCTATATATTCGCAGAAATGACTGAAATTGGAAGTTTCAGAGATGAACTTCAATATTATTACAATTTATGGTTTTTAACCTAATGACTATAAAAGTTCACTGAAATCACGTACGAACTCGATTTTTATGAGGCCAAATAAATTTATAGTTTTAACCCAACCTAATGGTTGTTGAGATCATTCAATGCGTAGCAGAAAATTTCAAGGGCCATCTACAACCACACCAGGTCTCCCCACCCCCGGGGCAGCGCCCAGCGCATCCCCTTTAAAATGTAGAAGTGGTGTTAATTGCTAGGCATCATCATGGTTCAGGGACTCTGAGAGGGAATAAAGCCCCCCAGCCTCATATTACATGCTGAAGAAATTAACTTCATTTTGCTGCACTGCAAGCTTCATATTCAATTTATCTGCTTTCATCTGTCTCTGTCTCCTCTTTTGTCTCCTTAAGCATTCAATATTTCTTTGTTCGTTCATATCATACATAATTTTATGTATATATGTATGTATGTATGCATGCATGTATTTATACGTATGTACTCAACAATACTTTGAGATTTTTAGACTTTTTAGGATTTTCCATCTCTCAAAGTTTTTGAATCACCAATGTGCTAAACAAACTGATGCAGGCCTACGTACCAAGTTATGAAAATATTTTTCTTCCAAAGAAAATCAGCTATAGCTAGCTAATAAAACATATACCTAGGTCACCATTCTCACTTAACCTAGGTGTTTATTATTTATTAACATTTTTCTTTTTCTTTCGATTTTCTTGTTTCTTGTCTGATTATGTTTTTGATTTAACCATATGTAATTGCTTTTGTTTGCCGGACTTTCTCATCCTTACCACGGTACCACTAATAATGTTATTACATGTGCCATTATTTTTAATATTTAGATTGTTTGAGAGTGAATCTAGATAGACCAGAATCACTTATGGGGAGAAACACATGAGAGTTGCTTCTCCATAAAACCACTTAAAGTGATTAATATATATAGAGAAGTGATTCTCCATAGAAAAAAATAATGAATATTTAGTTGCATGATCATCAATAAGTTTGATCAAAATAAATTGCATATGTGTAATATTTGATGTTAATGAATCACATAAAATTGTAAGAACAAGAATGTCCCACATGAACATGATGGCCGTAAACTAGCAACTGCACAGATTACAAACATATTGCATTGAGTCTGAGCCACACCCAACAAAATTAAATATTTCTGATTGAGACACAGAAAAAGAAAACAAGTAATAACTTGCGATGCTTGAGACAAGGTAATTAAACACGGTGGTTGTGAAGAGCAGGGTCTCTTTATTTGGCAATGAAATTCATTCCCAGAAACTAAAGAATATGTATATATATGATGTGTATGGCTTTAATTAAGTAATTAATTAGTGTGAATTATAATAAAAGGACGTACGAAAGGACCAGCAGATGTAGATGAATGAATATAGGAAGACAGCCAATTAGCTACGTACCATATTGGCAGATAATTAACTGTTGATGTGCAGACACTAAATCGCGTTTCCTTTAATTTCTTCTTCTTATTCTTCTCCTTATCTTTCTCCTTGCCTTCTTTCTATATATATATATATATATATATATAATAATTTAGGGTAAGGCAGGCACAGAGCAGAAACAGATGGATGGTGAGTTAGTTGTGCTTTTATTGGGTTCATGGGAGAAGTCGTGCTGGTTAGGTTTGCTTTGATTCTTTTATTTCTTCTGTGAGTGAGTGAGAGCTTGCTAGAGTGACTTGTTCTATTGTTTTTTATATTTAAATTTAATTATCTGGTTTTGGTTCTGCATGAATGTCCGATTTCAATGACCAAACCCAACAGTAGAAGAACTATTGGTCATGAGAAAGAGGTCTTGACTTGAACCACTAAATTAAAGAGGATTTTGTTCACGGTTTCAAAACCTCATCAGCCTTGGGAAGTGCATTGATTTTATTAAATAATAAGAAAACGACATTAATTATAATAAATTTATTCATTACGAAGGATATTTTAAAGTTTATGGTATGTATATAGGATGGGTCCGAATTAGGAAAAAAACTTTCTTGTAACGGGGCTAACACTATTTTGCTATTCTCGGTCAATAATATAATGACAAGTGAAAAATTATCACACGTGTCATTGTCTTATTAATCAGAATAGCAAAAAGTATTATCCCGTTGCATGAGAGTTTTTTTTTACCCAAATCAGGGGACATTTTTTTGAGTGCTGCTATTTCCACCCACTTGTCCTATTTTTCCACCCACTTTATCTTTAAACTTTTAAAGACAAATTTAACCTCATTGTAAAATGACTTAAAAGGACTTGAGGAAAAAGAAAGAGGAAGAAAAAAAACGCTGACTTCTGCTCTCACATAACCCTATCGTTTGACATAAAGAGAAAAAACACAAGAAAGCTATGACTTCTTGCTCATGATTCCTCTTATGACTTTTCAGTGCATAGAACTCAATTCTCAAATAATTTTCTTCTCTTTTCTATTCATTCAATCAAATTGTTTATGAAGAAGAAAACAACAAGAGAATGGATGTTGAACAGAATGATTTTGGCGAAAATGTAAGGAAATCCTATTTGAACAGAATTTCTAAGATCTTTATGATTACTTAAAGCATTGGGAGATGAGTATTTCTTGGACTTTGATTTTTTTTCTTAAACAAATTAAAAATATGAAAACCTGGGCACGAACAAGTTTCTGTCAGTGGAGCTGAAAGTTTGGAAGGTGGGTAAAGAGGTTGCTGGGTATGTTTAGAAATTGGGGAGCGTGAGTCAGGTTTTGGTTTCAAGGGCTGGTCATCTTTTGCCTGCTGACCAGCCATTGTCATCAAATTTCGTGATGTGAAGTTGCTTCTTTTATCGTTTTACTGCTGTATTACTTACTACTGTTTGTTTTCAAATTTCAAATTTCTTGGAAAATAAGATATAGCAAAAATGAGAGAGAGATGTGTGGGCATCAAAGAGAGAGAATACATGAGCAAAGAGAATAAAAGAGAGAGGAAATAAGGTAATAATTAAAAGGGTATTTTAGGAATATTGGTGGGTGGAAAAATAGGATTGTGTTTTTTAAAATTTATATGGTGGGTGAAAAGATAAGATGGGTGGGAAAATATGACAGGTGAGTGAAAATAGCAACACTCATTTTTTTTTAACACACAAATAGTGTGTCCCATGATCCTCATTCAATCTCTTTCAACTATGCTTTAGACAGAGGCTTTGTGGTAAAGTGTAACCTTCACTATTTTACTTTTTTTTTTGGGGTCAGTTTAATTACGCTTTCATATCACAGTATCCAGCTTAACAAAATTCTGATATGGATTTATATTTATTTATTTATTTATTTTACTAGGAATTTTGAGAAAAGGAAACTGAAGCTAAGTCATACTAAGGCCTAGTCGATTGACCATTAGCAAATGGCACACGACACAAATACATTTTATGCACTACGTAGCAAATGAAGACAAAACAAATAGAATGATATGAAAGGAAATTCATTAAACTTGATCAGAATCCAGAGTACAGTTTATCATGGAGGGCAGGTTTCCGAATAGTAGCATTTGGAAATCTCAGGAACTTCATCACAACTCTGCTATCTAGAATAGTTTTTACACTGTAAAGTCACTAAAAATCAAATGAAAATAAAATAATAAAATAAACGAAAAGTAATTTAACAAATCACATCAGCATCCTTCACGTTTGATTCAGCTTTAGCTTCAATTCCATGCATGATGATGATGTCTTGATAAGAGCAAGCTATGGAGCCTTTGAATGACTTTGCTTACAAGAAGAACCACTGCGCACTCCCCTGCAGAATGTATAAGCAAGACACAAAATATGGATTGCAGAAAAGTCCCTGGTTTAACTGAATTCATCCAACAGTTCTCTCCTAAAAACATCACCAACCCCTCATCATATTTAGTAGAAGATAGTCTAAAAGTCTGATAAAGACAATAAATTTCGTTTTTAAGAGCCTCATCTGGGTTGTTTTGACAGCAAAGATGAAATGCCAGATAACAATATGGCAAGAGAAATTGTGACCTTTGCTGCAGAGATAATGTGCATGGTACAAATTCCACTATACATGTACAAGCTGGCTTGAAGCCAATGTGGTGCATGCCCCAACAATAATGTAAACAAGTTGAGATAAAAAGAAGAAACTCATATAAGGCTACAGTGAACATGGAAGACGACCTAACTATGCTAACTCCGCAATCGTTTTCTTTGACTACCCTCTTCAATAATTCCCTGCAATTCAGAAGAAAAAGAAAAATCAAAATAAATACATAATTTTACAGCACAGCTTCCACAAACTGGATACTGCTACTATCAGGATACCATACCCACAGTTCCCATTTTTATCAGGATAGACTACTAGTAAACCTTAAACATTTTCAACCTCAGTAATTACTAACATCTATAGTAGCATTCACATGCACACCATAATATTCAAACTCGGGCATAGGAATAATACAAATGAATATTGAAGATTATGATCTTCCAAGTAAGAAAATGTCTATCGAATCATTGATGAAAAAAATTTAAAACATAATAAGGGTATTTATTGTTCTCAGATAAGATTTTCTGGAAAAAAGATATAAACACAAATTAAAATGAAATATGGAGACATACCACTTCATCTTGTCCCAAACCTCCAGAGGATACCACGCTTGACTCCGATCTGCATTTAGCATGCACTATAGGACCTAACTGTGACCTATCCATGCCTCCTGTTGATCCATCAGGTGCATTCAAGTACACAGCACCTTTATACATCCATTCCTCTGTCTCGTCACTATAAAAATCATCAAAAGGTTCTCCTTTTCTTCATCACTCTTCTTTTCCACAATGGTCTCAGCAGGCATAAATCCAGGGACTGCATCAGTACCCAAGGCCTCTGCACCACTGAGCCACATGCTCGTATTTACAAACCATTTGCGAGAGGGCTTCTGCTTACGGTTTTTAGACATACGGTTCTTTGTTACATGCCAATCCATATGACTACTGTGCTCTTCTTGGCACTTGAACCTAAGGCCACAGGTTGTGCATTGTCTTGGGAGATCACTATATAGGGCCTTTATTACAGATTCATGACGCACCTTGAGAAGGTCGGCATTAAACTCAATTCCTACAGAATCCTAAACATTAAATAACTTGGTTGAGATACGACCCAAATAATGCATTGTAAAATCAAATATTCAAAATTAGACAATACAGAGGGATATCATTCAAATACCTGGACAGTGCTTTGATTTGTCAATGAGATCAAACCTTGAGCCATGAGAGAACTAAACAAACCAGAATATGCACTCCCGGGCTGGTTGCTAGAGACAACTGGACCAGGGTTTTGAATGGAAAGTATGCCTTGTGAGGAAGGGGGAGGCGGACCTGGTGGTAGAGGTGGCAAGGCTTCTCCTCGTAAATGCAAAGCGCTGTTTGGGACATAGGGGATACGAGGTACAGGATTTGCCATAACTGTGCTAACAGCACCACCATGCCCTTGCAAATTGTATCCGTGATTTAAGGATGGTAACCCCAAATAAGGTGGCCCGGGAGTTTCTGCAGATGAAATAAAATTCTCTCGTGCCTCCTGGGGTGGAAGAAATTGTGGCTGTAAAGGACTGGCCTGCACCTGGTTTCGCTGATTAACAGGCATCGGCCTGGCATTCTGACTGGTCAATTGAGTTAACTTTGTCGACCTCAACAACTTATTTTCATAACCATCCAACTGCTGCTCAGGCACATATAAAGAATTATATGGAGCTTGATTTTTTACAGTGTTGCTATAATTTATTGAACCATACTGACTCCTCTGGTTCTGCAATGCAAAAATTGAGTGGCCAGGAGGAGGGTGAGAATTATGTATGTTTACTGGAGGCCTTGAACCCATTGACACTGGTATAATGGGTCGAGAGTCAGCATTACCAGCGTCAACACTACAAGAACCCATTCTTGATGCAACAGCTACGGGCCCATGCAGTCGTGCATCAACATCTGGAAGCTTGTCAACAAAGGCAGACATTTTCTCACCACCTGAAGATACACCACTTGCCACAAAGGGCATCTGGAAATTCCTACCCCTTCCTCTGGCATTAAGGAGATTCTGCGAAGACTGAGAGAGATGGAAAGGAATATTCCAAGCTTCTTGAGGGTAGCGAGAACCCAGACTATGATTTGTCTCAGATTGGAATCGAGATACTGTACTTGTTGATCCACGACTGAACTGCAGGAACAATATTAAATTTTCACAGATGAGCACAAATGAAATTCAAGAACTGAAGTCCATAATAGAGGGCAGCAGTAAAGAAATACATAAGTCTTTACTATGTTTTACTGAGAAAAGTCAACAAAAAATGTGCATATGGGGATCAGTTTGGGCTACTTTAGGAAAGAAAACCAAAAATGTTCCGTTGAGTAAAGGATAGGGATTTAGAAAGAAGTAAATATTCGTGGTTTAAACTTCAAACCAGTCACAGATGCACATAAGTAGAATCAAAGAAATAAATTTGACCAGGACCTCAATTAAAGGTACCACAGAATCAGGAAACTCTGACTAGTCCAAAAAAAGTCAATAAATAAATAAGGCCATAACATACTAATAAATAAATACATGAAATGTAAGAATCAAAATAGCAGGATAATAGTACTGAATAATCTGTAAATATCAGGGAAGCCATTTTTAAAAATTGCAATGCAAATAACTAAGTGAAAAAACACACTCGCAGACATCAATATCATGTTAATTCTAACTAAACAAAAATGCTCAATAAAATTGTAGAGGGAACATACACCAAGCAGGGGGGCTGGATCTTCAGTTATAACAGAGGACTGTTCGGCTAAAGGTAGATGTGCCTGAGTAGACCAAGTACTCCTACTATCTGACTCCAAGGGGCTCACATTCAGTGTTCCAAGGCTGGGCCTTGCCCTGTAGCTTCTAGAAGGTGGTGCAGTTGAAGGCATGTAATCATTACTCCTCTGGTCTGCTAAAGTTGGGCTCATGTCTTCCCAATCAAACTCTTCCTCTTCGGTATTCTGCCACGACATTTGAGTTGCCTTATGGTCTAGACCATTCAGGCCCAGCCGCCCAACCAGAGGTTTATCATTTAAACTTCTATCTCCACTGTCTTTCCCGTATGCATCAATCAGAGCTCTTGGTCTCTGATGTTCTAGTCCATTACTGAGGTTATTATATGTAACAGAAGTGTCAAATCGTTTCTGACTACCATCAAGATAGCGCTTTCCCCGCAATTCATTCGGCTCCTCGTCTCTACCAATTGCTCCACCAAGTCTATAATCAAACACAGAATTAGACGGAGATGCCCTTTCACCAAACCTTTTAGGGGAATTCTCTGCTGCAAATTCATCAACTGCCGATGGTAGAGATCTATCAAGCCCAATATCTGAAGGTGATGATGATCTTGCAAGCCTAGTAGTTGAAGATGGGTGCAACCGATTGGATCCCAGGGAAAAAGGTGAATGACTCACACTTCCAGTTGAGTTCACTCTTTGGGATCCAACCTGCAAGGATAAAACCATTGCATTATCAGGACCATATTTGTCATACATAATGGCAGGTTTCTGAGCTTATAAATTTTTAAGTTTAAGTTACTATTAAATGCTGAGTTCTGCAAGATTCATAACAAATTATATATATGAAATGTGACAGTTGTATAATGTTTATGTACATAAATTTGGTTACAGAAAGCAATACACATGAATTGGAATTCTCTATGTTGAGAAAAGTCACAAATTTTGATTGATAATATGAAAAGCTTAAAATGCAATTCTAAGCCGTCTTTATATTGGCATCAAATCCAAATCCCATCAGTAATTGGAAATCCTAATTAACAAAACATAAAGGAAGTCCTAAATCAACTAGGAAAAGCAAACCCAATCCTTATGGGAAAAGACAAAAAGAATTTTTTATTTTTATTTTTAAACCTAAACTTTCCAAAAAAGTTAAAAATTCAAAATATGTATATATATATACTTATCAGCCAATTGTCCTACTTTTGCTTATTCTGTGCAAAATGATAAGAAATACTTTACTAAGATCACTGGTGGTAAAGCCAAATCAATTATCAAAAAAGTGCAGGCTGCAGCACATTTTCAGAAGAGAAAAACAGAGAGATTACATGGAGAGCTTACACTATCTACATTTGAGCTATCCAATTGACGTAAATACTTTGGATTGACATGGATGCCATGAGTCGGTCGAGGAGATTCAGAAGCCCTCAGAGGAGTTGATCCTGATGATTGTTGGTTTACTTGTGGAGAAAACTGCAGCTGCTCTTCAATCCTGCGAAGGACTGAAGGTGGAAAGACTGCTGACCAAGTGCCAAAGAGATGGCGCATGGCAGGATACTGGTTAGGGTTTACTTGCCTGTATGCCTCGCAAAATACCTATGCAAATATAAACTCATGTGAAACTAGAGTTGTGTGATTCTCAAAGAAATCTTTGAACACATAATTGGAAAATTGGGGAAAAAACATATATATCACATTCTGCGGTCAGATTAGATCACCTCAGGTAGGCGGGAAGAGAAGTACTTGGCATAATCCCGGCCAATATTCTTCACAATACTATCTAATAGATATAGTGAAGGCAGTTTGTGCTCAACTGGGACCTGCAATAGACAAGTATTAAACAATTAACGCAAACTTCAAACTGACTAACATATAAACAGCACTGCGACTTCTTTTGCTGCAGGCTTGACACATATTCCAATTCAACTGGAGTTGAATCTTCAATTAAAGAGAGAAACTATGATGGAATCTTAATAATATTATCACAAAATTAGTGCTGGTCCTAGTTTTTATCACCATGCGTGTGTAGTATTAAGGTTGTTGGTTCAATCATAGCTACAAACACTGGGAAATTTCACTTCTTGTTTGTTCATGCTTCTTTGTAACCCAGACGTAACAAACTTTTTTTTTTTACGGGTCATTCTGTTCATAGTACTCATATATAAACGGAAAAAAAAAAAAAACAAGGAGCGAGAGAGAAAGAAAGAAGGAAAAGATTTACAACTTTTGAAGTTGTTATTCCCAATTGAGTGACATCGAGCATCTAAAATTTAAATTTCTAAAAGAAAAAGATGAAGCTGAGACGCGTCGTAGCAATTAGAACTTTAGAGTAAAGATTGCTATTTTTTACAATGCCTAGAACTCAAACAATTACACCAGTTAAATCCAGGGTGCAGAGAAACAGAGAACCCCCAGCAAAGCTCCGCCCAATAATCAAAAAGAGGTAGAAGCAACCCGCGGGTACCGAAACAGACCTCGAGAATCCGGGCGCAGATGGCGTCGGCGATGCCCTTTCCGTGGTCTCTCTGCTCGCCGGCGATGATGGTGAGATCGGTAATGATGGGTTTGGAATTGAAGATGAGCTCCGCCAAGACCATTTCGTAAAGCTGCACAATTTCCTCGGTGCTGGGCGGCGACACGTCGTCCTCGGGCGAAACCCTTAGGTCATCGTCTCGTTGCTTCAACAGAGCCCTGAAGCGGTCGACTATCGGAGTCGGAGGTTGAGGCTTCTGAGCTAACTCATTGTTGGGCATGGCCTTCGTACCCGTGGCTGCGCTGGAGGCGGCGATTAAGCGGTCGTGCGGGAAAGCGAGGGTTCTAGGGTTTTCTCGGGAAAGTAAGAGCTTTTCCGAGGCCATGGAAGTTTGGGAAAGAATAATGGTAAGTGCTTTGAGTTAGGGAAATTAGGGTTATTGAAGTCTGGGTCTTCTCCCACCACGGGAGGGTGAGGATTGCATTAGGGTTTGCTCCCACCACCATAGAAATACACGAATACGGTGTGATTTTGATTCTGGAAGCAACTGCTCTGCTACGAGTCGTGTTGTCCTCCTCGTTCCCTCTTTTAAATTTCTTTCTTTATTCTACTTCTCCTCCAAGGAACGACAAGCCGTTTACCGTCGTCTACTTCCCTATTATTGTAGGGACAAAGTCATTTTTCGCCCCTGACATTCCTTGGATTTCTACTTTCCCCTGTGTGGTTTCAATTTCCGCAATTTGAATCATGTAATTTAATATATAATATAATTGAAGGACGTGTTTAAATTTCCATTTAATTTCATAATGAAGCAAAAATGCGTTGAAGAGAGATATTTTGGACAGAATTTTAAATGAAATTAAATGGAAATTTAGATGTTTTTATGTGATAAAATCAAACTAAATATTTTAAATTGTCAAAATTAAAATTACATGGACTGAAGTTGAAAATTGGGTAAATTACATGGACTCTAAAAGTGACTTTTTTCAGATAAAGTAAATACCCCGACATGTCGTTTTCCATGTTTAAGAAGCCAAATAAAATAGCGTCGAACACCAAAACCCCAAACATCACAAGGATTTCTGCAAACCCACTCCGAGTAGGAGAAGGAGTTATACGATACGACAGCCAACAGGAGTTTGACCCCTTTTTGGGTTAGTTTCTTCCTTTCAACTCATGCATTTCTAATTTCTGATACTGAATCAATATGGTCAATGGCTCACTGGCCCTTTTTTTTCCCCTTTCAAGGAGGTTTTGGGTTTGTTTCTCATAAGAATATTTTGCCTCTTCTTTGTTCTTGATGAATGTTTTTGCATCCAAATGGAATATAACTGAGGGAAAGATCAAGTCGTGTGTGGAAGTCTGTAGAAAGTCTGCAGAATTTCTCTCTCTGAGAGTCTCATGTGATGTGGTGTGTCATGCATTTCATACTAATACTTTTTAAATATATTAGAATATTTTATAAGGGTAGCCGAATATATTAATATTTAAATAGTATAGCCGCACGGCTGTACAATTTTAATATATACCATTTAAATATCTTCGAATATTTTATAAGTATAGCCGAATATATTTAAAGAGTATAGCCGCACGGCCATACTCTTTAAATATTCGAATATATTAAAAGAGTATAGCCGTGCGGTTATACTGTTAAAATATATTAATATTTAAATAGTATAGCCGCACGGCCGTACTATTTTAATATATACTAATGTTCTAAATGTATAGCCGTTCGGCTATACGCTTTCTATACGATTTAAATATATTCGAATATTTTATAAGTATAGCCGGTTGGCTATACTGCACAAAATGGTTTTCTTTTTTGTAATTAAGTAATATCTTTGCCTTTTTTAATCTCTACATTTGTGAAGGTTTATCGAACTGAATCTGTTATTGTTGGTTTTTGGAACCCCGGGTTTTGATATTGCGCCGAATTGCTCCATTTTCGGACTGGATTTAGAGGTATTCTTCGTTTCCAATCTTTACCTTCTGTTTGGTTGCTGAGAAAGCTGTGGGGAAAATAGAATTGGGTATAGTTGTATAATATACAAACAATTTGATATAGTTGCTGGTGAATTCAGGGATTCATGCCCATCTCTGTAGTTTATTTTTATGGATAGTCCTTTTTTTCATTCAGCTTTTGTTTATGGTTGAAGTGTGTCTACTTTTGTCTGTTCCAAAGGCTAAAATTGATCTGGAATGACTTAATTGGAAGCACAGGTTAAATTTTTTGAAAAGAAATATTTTACTCTACTTAACAGAAGAGAACAGGAAGTAAATAGAACTGTGGATAAATTCCAAAAGGAGGGGACTGGTTTTACTTGGAATTGTTGTGCTCTAGTAATTGTCCATATTTTGATAAATAACTTTTGGACGGCGGTATTTCTGTAAATCATTGTTAAAGTGTAATAAAATCATGAAAGATATAGGTCCTTTGCTGCATTCCACCTTTTTAACTGAATGTTCGCACCTCATTGTTAATTAAGAAGGTTTGAAGTTATTTCTGAACTGACAGATCATTTGGTATGATAGGGAAACTATCTGAACTATGGATGCAAGCTCTTTAATTCTAAACCCCAAAAGGCAGAAATTGGATGGAGGAGAAGAGGTGGAAGGAAGCAGCAAGAGTTTAAGTAATTTGCCTGATGTGGTTATTCAAAAAATTATCTCCCTGCTTGAAACAAAAGATGCAATCAGAACAAGCATACTGTCTAAAAGATGGGAATACTTATGGACATCAATTCCCAATCTTAACTTTTATAAAGGGCTGTTTGCTGCAAGATCTCCCCTGGTGAATATTGTGGAAAGAGCACTTCTTCTTCGTGGTCCTGCTGATATAGAAACGTTCGATCTTACGTTTCCAGTGCTAGATGATGCATGTCGTGTTAATGCATGGATTGATGCCACAGTAAGGCGCAATGTTAAAAAGCTTTATCTCTACCTGCATAGCCTCCAAGAACCATTTTACTTGCCTCACTCCTTATTTACTTCTACAACACTGGTGGCCGCAGAACTAGATATTCCTTTCCTTTTCAAGGCTCCTTCTACTGTTTGTTTCTCAAGTCTAAGGACCTTGTCTCTTAGGTCCATTGTGTTTTCTGATGACTCAACGCAGCAGCTGTTTTCTGGGTGTCCAGTCCTTGAGGAATTATCTATAGAAGAATGCAAATGGATGAATCTCAAGTTTGTGAGTATTTGTGCTCCACAGCTTTTGAGATTGACTATAACTGAATTAGATCCGCAACTTTCCAGAGGTTCAGATGGTTGTCAGATTATGATATTTGGAGTTAGTCTGACATATTTTTATTACAGGGGCAAGCTCCTAAATGAATACTGCTTTTATGACTCGTCCTCACCTAATGAAGCTGAGATTCATCTTTCTTATAATTTTACTAAGAAATTGAGACCCACTGCTTACCGCTTGTATAAGCTCCTTAGAGGGCTCTCTAGTGTGAAGGAATTAGTTTTCTCTGATTCGAATGCCTTTGAGGTATGATTTCTTCTCTTTTATTGATTACATTTGTTAATTTGATGTATCAATATCTGTTTACAAATTGCATATATTGCATTAGCAGTTTGTGCCATGAGTAGCTTGCCTAAAATCACTCAGTCTTGATGATCGACTTCATCCTATTCTTAGGTGATTCTAAGTAATGCACCAGAACTTGTTGCCCAGATGCCCTTGTTCAACGATCTGACCACTTTGGTACTGGAAGACTCAGTATATATTGATAATAAAGCACTGTTGACGATGCTCCAGTACTGTTCTTGTCTTGAAACTTTGGTATTCGTTGAGGTAACTTCATAAGAACTAGTAAGGTTTTCTCTTGTGTGGTGTTTTTGTGCAATGTTGTTAAAATGGCTAAGTTTCGATGGTTTAGGGGATTGGCCTGTCCTCGGATCGTGTAGAAGATGGTGGGGTGTTGGAGCCACTGCCTCCATGTTTCTTGTCACATCTTAAAATGATTGAAGTCGGTGATTTTTCCGGAGATCAGAATGAGCTTAATGCATTGGAGATTTTGCTAAAGAATGCAATGGTCTTAGAGAATATGCTTCTAGCTTGCTCCACGGAATTTCAAGGGGGACCAGAGAAGAAAACGGAAATTGCCAAACAGTTATCAAATCTTGCCAAAGGACCAGAAAGCTGTGAAGTTGTTCTTGTTTGAGCCCAAGTTTTTAATTATACTCTAGACTTTAGCTTCTTTTTAAAGCTGCTGACTTGCAATGACCTTCTGTGTTATTTGGTTGCTAAACTATTTGCAGAAACACTTGGCACATGCACATTTTGGCAAAACAGTCAATAGCAAGTCTTCAGATCATAACCAATGGTCAAGGGTTACTTTCTGGCCATCTGATTGCCTTTGCTTGCCTGACTAATTCATAACTAACTAATTTATAAACCTTTTATCATCCAAAGTATGTAACATCATGTTATGGCCAGGGCAGCCAATTATACAATCTTGTGAATGTTAGATGCCATGAACCTTCAGCAAGCACCTGCACTAAAGTCACGTGCACCTGCATTAAAGTCACGTGCAGTAAAGCAGTGTACCATGTATGTATCCCGCCAAACATAAAAACGACCACGACCAAAAACTCGTACAAATTACAGCTTCGGTCCAGGGTCAGATAAAGACCCCATTCCTTAATGCAAACAAAACCTCTGTTATTATCAGCCAGACAGACCCAACTAGGCCAACTTAGTAACATCTATTATCAGCCGTCAATAAATACCTTTCAATTGAAACAAATTTCGATCGTCCAAAATTAAAATGTGTCGCAAAGGAAACATCGGAAATCAACATCATCATCATGCACTGAAAGAACAAGTTGGATTTAAGATGCATGCTTAAAGTACCCCTCAACAACAAGGCCCCAGGTCTGTCGTTCTCAATCAGACTTCGTTTCTTATTGTCAATCATTCAACTCAGAGTGTTCGTCGTTTACATATGCAGAGTTGGAACGTGGCGTGAGTTTGCGGTCTAGAATTGGCAGCAGCTGGAGAACAGGTGTGTTTAGGTAGGTGGCTTGAATGGAAGTTGGTGAATTAAAAAAACAGGGGCAGTTTTGTTTTTATTAGTTATTGGAATTTTATGAGTGAGATCTGCATTTCCAAATAATGATGGCTGAGATTTTTGTGGGAAACAAAGGAGGGGGGAAAGATCAAAGTGAAGTATATTTCCTTGCCGACAACCCTGACTCAATCAATACAAGTTTTTATCAAGTTTAATGGAAGAAAAAAATATATGATGAAAAGGAATCTATGAAGTTTAATGGAAGAAAAAAAAAAGTGATGAAAGAATAGTTGAAGAGCATATTCTAAATTCTTAGTCTGAGGCTCAGACTTTGGAGGAAATTTCTCAGAATTCTGTTTCAAATACAGAAAAAAATTCCACTAATTAGAAGTAAACAATAACACAAACTTATTTCTGTTGGCTCCTAAAATCATGAAACTTTATGCCTTTATTCTAAATCTTAGTTTCTTGCTAACGGGGTCTAGTTAGCAGGGAAGGGCATTGATTGGCTGACTAGTGGTCTTATGTTCGAATTTCCATGACACAATAGTCATGTGTGTGTATGAGAAATCTTCCTCTCTGACTATATAGCATATACTAAAAAAAATTTAAAATCTTTTTTAGTTTCTTTATTTAATTAAAGGATTTTTTAGTAATTAAGAAAAAGATCTATCTTGTAGTTTGTCACCACCCAAACACCGGTGTGAAACAACCCAAAAACTCGCGTACTGGATGGTCAAAATTCCACTCACCTCCTCATTCCCCCAACTCATATATAAACCCCTCTTCCCCTGCCTCTCTCTTATACCCAGGAAAGACCGTTTCAAAGCTTTCCTTCATCACCCACATTTTCCCTCTCTTTCTCTTCGGTTTTCTCACCCTACCTTCTCTCCAAGCCCACCAACCCCTTTTCCCTCAAAAACTTATAAAACAATCGTTCATTAGTTTTATAATCCACCGAGCAATCCCGAGAAACTTTTTTTCTTTTTTGAATCTGAACCTCAAACTCTATTAATAAAACTCTCCATTCTGGTTTGGTTCAACATAAACCCAACATGCAGATCTCTTCAGTAAAGCTCAGAACCTCGACTTTCACGTCCTCAGAGTTTTTGAACCAGAGGTGTTCGATAAAGGCTCAGTCTTTTTCACTACCCAGTTTTCAGAATGTCCAACAGAGTGTGAACCACTCACTCTCTTCTTCATTCAAACCCATTTACATTTCTTCCACCGAGAGTTTCGCATTGGTGAGCAAAACCCAGCGAGTTACAGAGTGCAAGGCCTATGAGGCAGACAAGTCAAGACCTTTGAAGATCAACATTGAATTGCCGGACCAGCAGGCGGCCTCTCAGAGGTTCAAGATTGGTATATACTTTGCTACCTGGTGGGCTTTGAATGTGGTGTTCAATATCTACAACAAGAAGGTTTTGAATGTGTTTCCTTATCCATGGCTCACTTCCACTCTCTCACTCGCAACTGGGTCGCTCATGATGCTCATTTCTTGGGCCACCAGGATCGCTGAGGCGCCAAAAACTGATTTAGATTTCTGGAAGACTCTGTTTCCGGTAAGCAAAATTATGGTGCTTTTTCAGATCCTTACAGTTTGCTCTGTATCCTCAAAGACTGTTTCTTTTTATGGTTTTTCCTTTGCAGCCAAACATGGCACTTGGGTCTTGGAATTCTGATTTCTTATTTACATTGGTTGGTTACGTGTGTGCAGGTTGCGGTGGCACATACAATTGGGCATGTAGCAGCGACTGTGAGTATGGCAAAGGTTGCGGTTTCGTTTACCCACATCATCAAGAGCAGTGAGCCTGCCTTCAGTGTATTGGTTTCACGGTTCTTGTTAGGTGAATCCTTTCCTCTGTCGGTTTACCTCTCTCTCTTTCCAATTATTGGAGGATGTGCGCTTGCTGCCATAACCGAGCTCAATTTCAACATGATTGGTTAGAAAACTTTTTAAATTCCACATTTTGATTCTACAATTTTGAAGGGTGTTAGTGGTTACGGTTTTAGAGTTTTGGTGGGTGTTAATTGTTCCGAGTACTAAATTATGCTGCATCAGGGTTCATGGGGGCTATGATATCGAACCTGGCATTCGTGTTCAGAAACATATTTTCGAAGAAAGGGATGAAGGGGAAGTCTGTCAGTGGTATGAACTACTACGCTTGTCTGTCTATGTTGTCTCTACTGATCCTAATACCATTTGCCATTGCCGTGGAGGGCCCCAAGGTGTGGGCCGCTGGATGGAACACAGCTCTTGCACAAATTGGTCCCAATTTTGTCTGGTAATTTTCAATTACCTGCAACAGTCTGTAAAATTGCTGCCTTTTCTGTTCTATTGTTTGTCCATGGTATTGGACTTATAATTGCTGATTTGGTAGCTTCGATATGTTTGATCATTTTCAGCAATTAACTAGAGAGTTGAATGTAAAAGAGATATCTTGCATGGTTATAGATATAGAGGAGTATAATTCTAGACAATGAAGTTGGACTTCAGTTTCTCAAAATATTCTATCAGAAAAGCATATAATTTCTACCTGTGGAAGAGTTGAAAATAAGATGGTATCATCTGCACAATTGGGTTTCAGAATTTCTTTCTTTAAGGTTTAGTGAGACAAATCTACCCAACCTCGCTAAGTGAATCAGGTGATTGTTTTTGTCCATTTAGTTGCTGCAGTAAATTGTATAGAACATCTGCTAATTTTGATCCTAAAGCCTTGAAAAGATTATTTAGTGCTTGTTTAAAGCATTCACTCCCTTCCTCCTAAACCGTTTTACTTATGAAACAGGTGGGTGGCAGCCCAGAGTATCTTCTATCACTTGTATAATCAGGTTTCGTACATGTCATTAGATCAGATATCTCCCTTAACATTCAGCATCGGGAACACAATGAAGCGGATATCCGTCATAGTCTCCTCCATCATTATCTTCCACACACCTGTTCAACCCGTCAATGCACTTGGAGCAGCCATTGCAATCCTTGGCACCTTCCTCTATTCACAGGTATGTTCGTCACCTTCTTATATAAGTGTTTTTTTAGGAATTGCAGATAACATAATTAGTTTCACATTGGATTTAAAACCATGAAATATGGGAAATATTAAGATTGGGACACTTTGTGTTCCTCATCCATACGCATTGAGTAGTTAAGTTGGAGATGATATCTGATAGTTGTTATCTGGTCACATAAGCCCCTAATAATTGGTATCAAAGTGCATAACAATTGCTCAACTGGAAGTCACCTCAATTGCCACCTCATGGATGATCAAAGTGCATAACCATGTAGCATCACTTCATAAGCTGCAAATTTTTTTTTTTTTAATGCAAAAAGAGGAAAACTACAAGCAAAAACCACAAGGGCACGCAGGCCCAATAGGTCCACAAAGTTTGGGACAAAGTTTGTGCATTGTTTTTATTCTGCATACTTCGTGCCACTTGTCCAAATGGTGACAAGCCACTTGTCTATATGGTGACAAAAGAAGGTGGCCTTCTAATTCTTCAAGGGCCACTAAACAAAAAGGGGGCAGTCTTTCCTTAGTTTTTTTTTGTTTTTGTTTTTTGTTTTTTTGCCTTTTTCAAGGCATGGTTAGATCACAATGGCATGTGCAGACCACCCCAAGTTATACACAGACATACAAATGAACAACAGTGACACTTTCATTTAATATGGATGATTATAAAGTTTGATGTTTAATTTAAACCACCTAGTAAAATCACCATCTTCAAAGTTCTTATAGCGTGCTTGACTACCCTTTTGAATGTTGGGACTTTCAATGTAGTTATGGCTCCGTTTGGCTGACAATTTCCTATTAACTTTGGGTGCAGGGCAAGCATTGAGGAATTTAAAGACGCCAAGTTGCTTGAAACATAGATGATGAAGAGAGACGAGATACTGAAGTGTTTTAACAATCTAACCATAGGGTATTTGAGTATGTTCAATTGAACTTCATTGTTTTTGGGTAATCAAGATCATAGTCATGGACCCATGGACTTGGTTTAAAAAATCATGCTCTGTTCCCCGGGATATGGTTTAATTAGATAGTAGGTTTCCTTCTGTTCACCGGTTGAGAGAAATTGTATTGTAGATTTTGTAGTAAATAACAACAATGTTTGTTGAGGCCTTTGACCTTTTTGCGGCAGAATAATACTTGGAATTCCAATTGCAATTCCCAATTTCTTTTGGTACAGTAAAATCGATGAATGAACTTGGCCCGTTAAAACTGCCACAGTGGTCTGTGTCATATTAGACTTGTATATCAGGCCCAAGTCCTGACAAAGTACATTGACACAAGCTCAACTTCTTTTTTGGGTAGACAAAGATCAACTTTAAACTTCATTTAACAAACTTGAGACGAGTTAGGCCGGTTAGTTAAGGCATGAGTGTGTTTTCTTGTAATTAAGTTCAAATTTTCCCTCCCACAAATTAGATTAATTTAAAATAGTTTAACATTAAACAAACAAAACATAAAATTAAAAAAAAATTAAAAATAAAAAAGAACATAGCACAAGTATTCTTAACCAGCAAAAAGTAGAAACAAAGAAAGATATTTTGATTCCAAAAACAGCCCCAACTCCAAATGCTATCAGCCCATCCACTGTTTTGTTACATAGAATTTAAGTGTCAATGTTCACCATGTCCTAATGATTTTGAGAGTAAAACAGTTTCCTAGATATTTAACCATTTCGAGTCATATGATTGGTTTGGCGGCCAGACGTTGGAGAATGGTGATCCATCAAAATAATGTGACTTTGTGGTACTGTACATGTTTCGAATTTCCTGCGTACAATTGGAGACGCGTCCTTTTTCTATACTTAGGTTTTGTCAACGTGATTATGATTTTGAGTTTTTTCTCGCTGGCTAAAATGTCACATCTCTTCCTCTGGTCTTCATTTCAATTCCTTGTTTTCCAAAGACTGTTTGCTGATGCTTCTGATTACGGCTAGCAAATCGACCAATAATGGGGGCTTGTCAGTTAGTTGGTCCCATGCCTGACACAGATGTTGCATCAAAAGGTTAATGCTTATTATTAAATAGGCTTCTTTCTCTGTGAACTTCATAAGTTTCAGTTTGATCAAAAAAAGAGAAGAAAAAAGACTAAACTAATTCATTCATACTTCATCCTTTTAAGCGTTGTTATGGAGAATTTGTCAGCACTTCATGCTGTCCTTGTGGTTGAGATGTGCTTTTCAGTTCTCATAGAATCTCATAATCACATATCTTTGAAAGGAAGCTCAGCTTCATCATCCCCTTTCCCAAGCAATTTCCTCTTTGGAACTGCATCCTCTTCTTACCAGGTATCTTGCCTTCTCTTCTTATATATGTACACGTGGGCAAGCGCGCTCACACACACACACACACACAGAATCAGTTTGTTTTAGTTATATATTGTCGTTTCTTCTTCTTTCTTTTTCTCAGTTTGAGGGAGCTTTTCTGACTGATGGTAAAGGCCTCAACAACTGGGATGTTTTTACTCATAAGCCTGGTTAGATTAATGCTTCTGTTTTACTCCTTCGAATTTGATGCTTTACTTTCCCTCACTCCCAAGCCCCCATTGTCTTTCAAATCCAATGGTAGAGTTATTTTGGCTTGTCACACTCACAGGTCATATCTCAGATGGAACTAATGGAGATATTGCTGTTGATCAGTACCATCTTTATCTGGTGAGCTAGGCTCTTGAATAAACCTTATTTGCATCTGCTTCTTCTCAATGATGATTGCATGTCCATTAATCCCTTTTTTACTTTTTTCTTTTCTTTTTACAGTTGTCATTAATAAGAAGAATTGCTTATCCTTCTTACTGTTTTGTTAAACTTGGAAATTGTGGGGCTGGAATTCTCTAATATCCTTCTTTAACCCAGCTCAAGCACAAGACTTTACCCGAGTTGGATTTGCACCCCAGATTCTTTAAACAATTGCAGTTTTCGTTCTTTTACATACAGAAACAGAGTCTATCATGTGTATTTTCCCTTTTTCTTCACTAGGCAACTAAGGGTTTACCAAGGAGCTGGTCTCATAAAGAGATGCCAAATTTCCTTGTCTATATACATGAATGGTATCAAATGTGGGAATGACTAAATACTAGCGGTTAATATGTTAAGAACATTCACAATGGGCCCCCTAAACCACTACTTCTTTAGACAAATTTTAGAGATGATTTGGAAAAATACAACTCCAACCATGCTTCCTATCCACCTCCTAAAATAGGGAGACCTAAGGAACTCATAAATATGAGGATAGAGAAAAGACTTCTAGTGGTTCCTTATAATTTAATGCTGCTTTATTTAATGAGTATTTCAAATCTTTAATTAATGTTAATTATTTTATTTTATTTTTTTAATAGAGATGAACCAATTAAAAAAGAGTTATAGCATTTATGACTTCCAAAACTAGTGGAGTTTAAATTTTATAAGGAGCTCCTAAAATAACTTTTATATGTTTTTAGCTAAAATTTAACTAAAAAATAGAGAGTATGATTGTGGATGCTCTAAATCCTTCCAAATTTTGGATATAGACAGCTGATTGAGCCTGGACCACCCCTCAGAATCTTAGGATGAAACAATAAATCTTGCTCAGACCAAAAAAAGAAAAACTAATGAGATTATAAACCCCACCCCAGTTGTCATTGTCCTCCAATTATTCATGGGAATTTCTGGTGGATAGTTTATCAACTGATATGAGCTAGTAAGATCATTACCGTTCGATATGTATGTGTACAAGTCGGATTTAGAGCGGCAGAACAATTGGTGTGGACATTGAAACTTTTCATGGCTCTAGATAAAACAATAATGTGTGTTGACTGTTATTGTTGGTTTCTGGATTAGATGTGCTGATAATCCTGTCCTGCTTTGCCGTTCCTATGAAAAATCAGGAAGATTTAGATCTCATGAGTTACATTGGAGTCCATTCTTACCGGTTTTCTATATCATGGGCAAGAGTTCTACCCAGTAAGTATTTTCATTCCTTCAGAGAGTGTCCACTTTGATTAATATCATCCAATGTTCTCATATCTAAGTCACTTGTATTGTAACTTTGAACCAGAAGGAAGATTTGGAAAAGTGAATAGAGCCGTCTGAGCAGAGGTCTTCTTTGTTACCATTGTTGATGTGATCATCCAATTCATTTTTGCTGTATTACTTGGTCAAAAATCATCACAGTTTGATTGATCACATAACTTCTAGTTCTTGAACAAATATGACAAATAATTAAGTACCTCCTCAACAATATCCATGTCCTGTTCTAGGGATCCAGCCATTCGTGACATTGTCTCATTACGACATTCCTCAGGAACTTGAAGACAGATACGGAGCTTGGCTAAGCCCCAAAGTGCAGTATGTAGCAAAATTCCCCATCTGTCTTAACAAGTTACTAATAAGCAAGAACTATGGGATGCAATTTAATTTGGTTTTGCAGGGAGGATTTCAAATATTATGCAAATACATGTTTCGAATTCTATGGAGACAGAGTTAAGTACTGGGTGACTTTCAATGAGCCCAATGTTGTAGTTATTCGTGGCTATAGGTCAGGGGTTTACCCACCATCTCGTTGCTCTAGCCCATTTGGGAATTGTACTAGTGGGAATTCAGAGAAGGAGCCTTTCATTGCAGCTCATAACATCATTCTATCCCATGCAGCTGCTGTGAATATATACCGAACCCAATACCAGGTTTTTAACAATGTCCTGTCTTCGTCAAATTTGTAGGTTTAAGATTGATTCGTAAGTAGAATTGATTCGGCTTTGTTCTAATGCATGTCTTTTACACTCAGAAAAAACAAGGAGGTAGCATTGGAATGATCATGAATGCCGTATGGTATGAACCCATCAGCAACTCCTTAGAAGACAAGTTAGCAGCTGAGAGGGCTCAATCTTTCTATATGAACTGGTAAGAATTTTCTCATATTTCTCTGGCTATACATCCATACTGAAGGATGGTCACACAACTACGAAAATGTTCAATGCAGGTTCTTAGACCCAATTGTACATGGGAAATATCCTGCAGAAATGCAGGAGATTCTAGGAGCTGATTTGCCTATATTTTCAGAATCTGATGTGGAGATGCTGAGGAAGAACAGATTAGATTTCATTGGCATCAACCACTATACCAGCTTTTACATAAAAGACTGTATCTTTTCTGAATGTGAACCGGGACCAGGAGCTTCAAGGACGGAGGGTTTCGCTTTGCGAACCGCAGAAAAAGATGGAGTCTTCCTTGGAGAACCAGTATGTAATTTCTCATCTTGTCATCATCACCACAACACTTAATTTCTGCAATTTACCCAAACATTTTGTTGATGTAGACTTCGGTTGACTGGCTGTATGTCTACCCTCAAGGAATGGACAAGATTGTAACGTACGTAAAAGACAGATACAATAATACACCAATCTTCATCACAGAAAATGGTAAGGTGAAAACTCAGATTTTTGATTAAAAAATGACCCCCAAACCCCAATTATTGGATCCAGAAAATTCTTATATAATTGGAGTGCGTCTTGTAGGGTTTGGTAAGACTGATAATTCGAATTCCACCAATGAAGAATTACTGAATGATGTCAAGAGAGTGAAGTACATGAGGTCCTACTTACATGCACTAGCAGAAGCAATGAGGTATGCCCCCGTCATCTGCCCAAGGCAAATGGGACCTCTTGCATTTAGTTCTTGGACTTTAAGTTACACTCAGCTATCATTGTCACCAAAGAGTGGACGCAACGTTCCTCTCTTAATAATCAATCATGTCATCACCGCATACACTTATTGGATCCAATAATTTTATGGTAATAACATTGTGGTGCTTTGCGCACAGTTCAAATGTGGTGGAAACTTTTGAATTTTTGATAATATATCAGGAAAGGAGCAGATGTAAGAGGGTACTTCGTGTGGTCGTTGCTTGACAATTTCGAGTGGACCAGTGGATATACTGTTCGGTTTGGACTTCACCATGTTGATTATGCCACTCTCAAAAGAACTAAAAGACTCTCAGCGGATTGGTACAAACAATTTATTTCTAATCATACAGTGCAATTTTTAATTGCCACATCATGATCAAGAAAATCAATGTAGAGAGCACTCAACAGCAGCTATCCTTTTAATCAATCAATAAAGCCATTAGAGTAGTGTGTGCGCCGCCTTACACCAGAGTTCGATCCTCCTCCTCGTACATTAGAGTGGTTTATAATATCGTGTCTGTCAAAAAATAAAGCCATCTTCCCTGTCAAAAAATAAAGCCATCTTCCCAGTCCTATAGTGTATATCTTCCCAGTCATATAGAATGATGAAGAGAGACAATACTATACTAAAGTGTATAACAATCAAAACACAGGGTATCTGATCATCAAGATCATAGCCATGGACTTGGTTAAAAAAATCATGCTCTGTTCCTCGGGATATGGTTTAATTAGCCAATTGTATTGTAGGTTTCCTTCTGTTCACCGGTTGGAAAAATTGTATTGTAGATTTTGTAGTAAATAAGAACAATGTTTGAATCGATGTATATGAACTGGCACTTTTGAATTGAGTATAGCCGCACGGTTATACGTTTAAAATACACTATTTATGGAGTATCGCCATACTGTTACAATACACTATTTATCGAGTATAGTCGGGCGGCTGTACTTTAAAATATTCTATAGCCGAACGGCTATACTTTTAAAATATTCTATGTATGGCGTATAGCCGCGCGCCTAAACTGTTAAAACAGGGGCGGCTCTACTTCTAAAATATTCTATTTATGGAGTATAGCCGGCCCGGCTACGCTGTTAAAATATACTATTGGTCGAGTATAACCGCTCGGCTATAGAGTATAGCCGCCCGACTGTACTTTTATCGAGTATAGCCGCCCGGCTACGCTGTTAAAATATACTATTGGTCGAGTATAACCGCTCGGCTATACCCTTTAAAAAATACAGATAAACTTTATCTGTCATTAGTTTTTTGTATAGCAAATACAGATCAAGATAGAATCTGAAACTATAGTACAAGTGAAGAGATAAACTGACAGATAAAGAAGAGGAATGGGCTAACACAGCAGGATGATGGGGAGATCTCTTTGATGTGACTTTTGTGGTGCATGCATGTTTTAATTGCTCCTGCTTCATCCAAATGTTCCCATGATGCCATCTCTTTTCTATACTTTTTTAATGGTTTTGTCAACGTGATTATGATTATTTTGAGTTTATTCTCGCTCGCTAATGCTACATCTCTTCCTTTTGTCTTCATTTCTCAAAATGGCAATGCTTGTTATTAAATAGACCTCTTTCTCTGTGAAACTTCATAAGTTGCATTTTATCACCCCAAAAAAAAAAACAAAGAACGAAAAACTATTTCTACCTTCGTACTTTCAAGCATTGTTATGGAAAAAATTTCAGCATTTCATGCTGTCCTTGTGGTTGAGATGTGCTTTTCAATTCTCATAGTGTCTTGTAATCACATATCTTCGAGAGGAAGCTCAGCTTCATCATCCCCTTTCCCAAGCAACTTCCTCTTTGGAACTGCATCCTCTTCTTACCAGGTATCTTGCCTACTCTTCTTTACACACACACAGAATCAGTTGGTTTTAGTTATAAATTTTCATTTCTTCTTCATTATTTTTCTCAGTTTGAGGGAGCTTTTCTGAATGATGGTAAAGGCCTCAACAACTGGGATGTTTTTACTCATAAGCCTGGTTAGATTAATGCTTCTGTTTTACTCCTTCGAATTTGATGCTTTACTTTCCCTCACTCCCAAGCCCCCATTGTCTTTCAAATCCAATGGTAGAGTTATTTTGGCTTGTCACACTCACAGGTCATATCTCAGATGGAACTAATGGGGATATTGCTGTTGATCAGTACCATCTTTATCTGGTTAGCTAGGCTCTTGATCTTGAATAAACCTTATTTGCATCTACTTCTTCTCAATGGTGATGGAAAATGCAGACATATTATTAATATTCCATTAATCCATTCAGTCCAGAAGCCACTTAAAAAAAATTAAGAAGAATAATAGCTTTAAAATCCTTTGATATCTTTCTTACTGTTTTGTTAAACTTGAAATTAATTGTAGGGGCTGGACTACTAAATTATTCTTTAACCCAGCTCAAGCACAATACCTTATCCGAGACAATTGCAGTATTCATTTTTTTACATACAGAAACAGAATCCATCTTGTGTTGTGTATTTTTACGTTTTACTTCACTCCATTTGCTACTAATGGATGTGGTTCCATAAAGAGACATGCCAAATTTCCTTGTCTATATACATGAATGGTATTAAAATGAGGGAATGGCTAAAATGCTGGTGGTTGGTTAATATGTTGAATCCTTCCAAGTTTTGGATATAGACAGCTGATTGTAAGCCTGGACCACCCCTCAGAATCTGATGATGGAACAATAGATTATCAGAAATAAAGAAATAACGAGATTATCAACCCCACCCAGTTGACTCATTGTCCTGTACCTCTTGTCGCTTGTATTCCATTTGTATAGAGTTTTGGGAATTTCTGGTGGATAGTTTATCAACTGATTTGAGCTAGTAAGATCATTACCATTCGAAGTGTACGTGTCCAAGTCTGAATTGTTAGAGCAGCTGAACAATTGGTGTGGACACTGAAACTTTTCATGGCTCTAGATAAAACAATAATGTGTGACTTTTATGGCTAATCTAAATTAGATATGCTGATAATCCTGTCCTGCTTTGCCATTCCTATGAAAAAACAGGAAGATTTAGATCTCATGAGTTACATTGGAGTCAATACTTACCGGTTTTCTATATCATGGGCAAGAGTTCTACCCAGTAAGTTATTTCATTCCTTCAGAAAGTGTCAACTTTGATTAATAGTATCCTATGTTCTCATCTCTAAGTCACTTGTATTACAACTTTGAACCAGAAGGACGATTTGGAGAAGTGAATAGAGCCGGCATTGATCACTATAACAAGTTCATCAACACTCTTCTGCACAGAGGTCTTCTTTGGTTCCATGTTTATGTGTTCATCCAATTCATTGTTTCTGCATTAGTTCTTGAACAAAGATGACAGATATTTAATTCCTTCCTCAATAATCTCCATGTCCTGTTCTAGGGATCCAGCCGTTCGTAACATTGACTCATTATGACATTCCTCAAGAACTTGAAGACATATATGGAGCTTGGCTAAGTCCCAAAGTGCAGTATGTAGCAAGATTCCCCCATCTGTCTTAACAAGTCACTAATAAGAACTATAAAGGGATGCAATTCAATTTGATTTTGCAGGGAGGATTTCAAACATTATGCAAATATATGTTTCAAATTCTTTGGAGACAGAGTTAAGTACTGGGTGACTTTCAATGAGCCCAATGTTGCAGTTATTCATGGCTATAGGTCAGGGATTTACCCCCCATCTCGTTGCTCTAGCCCATTTGGGAATTGTACTAGAGGGGATTCAGAGAAAGAGCCTTTCATTGCAGCTCATAACATCATTCTATCCCATGCAGCTGCTGTGAATATATACCGAACCAAATACCAGGTTTTCAATAATGTCCTGTCTTCATCAAACTGTAGGTTCAAGATTAATTCGTGAGTAAAATCGGTTCGGCTTTGTTCTAATGCATGCCTTTTACACTCAGAAAAAACAAGGAGGTAGCATTGGAATGGTCATGAATGCTGTGTGGTTTGAACCCATCAGCAACTCCTTAGAAGACAAGTTAGCAGCAGAGAGGGCTCAATCTTTCTATATGAACTGGTAATAAGAAGTTTCTCATGTAATATTTCTCTAGCTATACATCCATACTAAAGCATGGTCACACAACGACGAAAATGTTCAATGCAGGCTCTTAGACCCAATTGTGCATGGGAGATATCCTGCAGAAATGCATGAGATTCTGGGAGCTGATCTGCCTATATTTTCAGAATCTGATGTGGAGATGCTGAGGAAGAACAGATTAGACTTCATTGGCATCAACCACTATACCAGCTTTTACGTAAAAGACTGTATCTTTTCTGCATGTGAACCAGGACCAGGAGCTTCAAGGACGGAGGGTTTCACTTTGCAAACCGCAGAAAAAGATGGAGTCTTCCTTGGAGAACCAGTATGTAATCTCTCATCTTATTATCATCACCACAACACCACTTAATTTCTTGTGCAATTTACGGTTACCTAAGCTTTTTGTTGATGTAGACTTCCGTTGACTGGCTGTATGTGTACCCTCAAGGAATGGACAACATTGTAACCTACGTAAAAGACAGATACAATAATACACCAATCTTCATCACGGAAAATGGTAAGGTGTAAAGTCATATATTTGATTAAAACTGACCCCTACCCTCCCCAAAATACAGCCAGTCAAATATTGGATCCGGAAAAAGATTCTTATATCATTGGACTGGGTCTTGTAGGGTTTGGTGAGACTGAGATTTCGAATTCCACCCATGAAGAATTACTCAATGATGCCAAGAGAGCGGAGTACATGAGGTCCTACTTGCATGCACTAGCAGAAGCAATGAGGTATGCCCTCAACTGCCCAAGGCAAATGGGACGTCTTGCATTTAGTTCTTGAACTTCAAGATACACTCAGCTATCATTGTCACCAAATGAGAGCATGCAATGTTCCTCTCATAATTACCGATTACGTGATCACTGCACACACTCATTGGATACAATAATTTTCTCTATATATGGTAGTGACATTGTGGTGTTTTGCAAACAGTTCAAATGTGGTGGAAAACTAATTGAATTTTTGATAATATGATCAGGAAAGGAGCAGATGTAAGAGGGTACTTCGTGTGGTCATTGCTTGACAATTTCGAGTGGACTAGTGGATATACTGTTCGGTTTGGACTTCACCATGTTGATTATGCCACTCTCAAGAGAACTCAAAGACTCTCAGCGGCTTGGTACAAAAAATTTATTTCCAATCATACGGTGCAAATTTTAAGAGCCACAGCATGATCAAGAAAATCAATGTAGTGAGCACTCAAGAGCAGGTATCTTTTTAATCAATCAATAAAGCCATTACTTCCCAATCATATAGTTCACATATTACGGGTACAATCTATCTTGTAATTTTAGAAATCAAACATATGAGACAGACAAGCACCCTAACTCTAGCAAACGGAAAAGCAAACGGAAAAGACCATACCATGCAATTGATTGGCATCCCCCTTTTCTAAATTTATTGACACCTCCACCAAGGAGCTCTAGCTTCAAAAGTGTGCTTCCCATCATCCCATGATATCTGACATGCTTGAAGACCAATAGCAACATTAGGTTCCTTTCCATGCCGTGCAATCCACTTTGCTACGGCTGTTTCTTTATCATTTTCAGTAGTATAATGCTTCTTATATTGGCCAAACGGGTTCAGTCCAGGACTTTCCATCTCTGCAACTGCAGCTGGCATGTACATGGAATCACCCACTATAGGTGCACCGCAGGCCGCCAGTTGCGCTCGAACCTGCATCGTAAATGTAGTTATTTCCAAAGTTTAATATTTAATTCTTGAGTAGTCAATGACAAAACTAAATGAAACAGAAAGCAATAACCATCACAGAGTCAAGCAATATGTCACTTGTGCCAAAGAACCTAAAAATCACGGTTTTCTGAACAGTTAATTGATATATCACTTTTCCACAATCTTGAAACTACTGAAATTTCTGCCTTTTGAAGTATTATATACTCTTGAGGCAGCTGGACCTCTCTTTAAAATCAAAAGGTAGTTTTATCCAGGAGGCACAACTTATTTCCTTTTTTTGGGCCAATCAGAAGCCACTATTAAGAAGACAGTATCTCAGAGATCTCAGATAAACAAATTGAGGGAGTGGTCAACATCTTGCTCCAAATAGAGTGGGAAAAGAAAATGATACTAATTAAATTCATATATTAGTACAATCTTTTGCTCCTTACCTGATGAGTCCGCCCGGTCAAAAGGTTGATTTTACATTCATATGCATAATCTTTTGAAGGCCACCCACAGTCTTCAACACAATATTTCTCTTCAACGACAGCATTTGGCCAGGGAACCTCCTTGCATTCCATGACCTCAAGTTGACACAAACTCCACCTTTCAATGAAATCTGCATGCCACAACTTTTTGAGCATCATCCAGAAGGAGGAGTTTCCTATCAAGCATAGAAGTCTCATAGTGTATAATTTTTATTTTCTTTTTCAGGTTACATTCATAAAGTATCTTTCATCAATTGAGTTTGTGAAGAAAATATCTTTGAAGTTGTAGCCACAATGTTACAGTAAGTAAAAGAAAGCTTTATACTCCGGGTAGTTTCAATGCAATTAATGAGTACTTAAATTAGCTTTTAAACAACATCTATATAAAAGAAAATGAAATATAATCCTAAAGCTTGTTTTTAACAACAGCCTGTCTAGGTGAATCATCTCACCAAATGCCTGTGGAAAGTAATGGTTTCCTAATTTTACATACAAGTAGCACATACTGAAGTCATCATTTCAGCTCCAAAAAGGAAAATAGAAAAGGAAATATAATTTGCAAAACAATGTGGTGAGAAGGTAATGACTTTAAGTACTTGACGCATTCAAAATGAAACTACTCAAACTCCAAACTAATTTCAATGCAGTGCTAGAAATAGATTATTACCTTCTGAAATGAGTCTAGGAGCCACATTAATTGGACGCATGTAGTGAGTAATTATTCCAGTTGGCACAGGAGCAGCAGCAAGAGCAAGGTAAAGCTTCTTCACTTTTTTCTCCTAGGTATAAGAAAAGAGAAATAAACTTAATGACCTAAGAAGATGGAGCTCGGGGTTGGACTGCAGCAATAAGGAACCACTCAGATTCATAGTTATATAGCAGCTGGCCTCCCCCTCCTAGTTCAATCTAATATATGCCAACGTATGGTATTGCAAAACTCACTCTGATTTTTCCATGAAAAACTGAGCAATACTCCTTGGTTCTAGCTAAGACAACACTGCAAGTGAGTTAGTACTATAGTATTTATACCACAACCTCTATGTCTCAACAAAAACCAGGACAAGAACTAATATAATATACCATACCATCCTTCTGTACAATTATCAATCTGATGTGTAGTATTCAGGGGGGTTGTAAGTCCCAAGGCACGAGTGGCAAAGGTTGCACAACTTTCTTCAATGTTGTCTGTAGTTCCTCCTACCTGAAAAAAATTTGCCATAAAATCATAGTAGTAAGCAACTAATTAACTATTCAAAAGAAAAATATTTGATAATGCCATAAAAAGATATGACAAAACACATGATTTTGTAATGATACGTACAGTTGTACCAGCAGGTTTGTCCAAAACCACAAATTCTTCAGATACAGCGATAATTCTTGATTTCCAGTCAATTTCATAGCACCTGATCAAAATCCTGATGTGAACAAGAATTTCACATCTAAAAATGATGATAGACCTGTCAAATATTGTGTTCTACCTAGGAAAACGTTTTGGGTGTACATGCACACGTAAGTATGTTCCAGCTTCAACAAATTCGTCTGCCTGTGTTATCCGGAAAGTTTTCTGCGCTTCTCTTACAGTTTTTCCTTTGATCGAAGCTCTTTTCTTTAGTACTGATGGTTCTGTAACTTCTTTAAATACCCTCATTTGCTCTGGGGTTGCGGTTGGAGGAGGCTTTGGACATACAAGGGCATAATACACAGCTCCAAAATGGATGAGATCTGCAACAAACCTTCAAAGAATGAAATTTTTTCTATTTATCACTCGAACTTGAGAATGACAGAAATCATATGCCATACATCAACTGAAAACAATGAGAATACAAAAGAGCAGCACTCACTGAGGAGGAAGATCCAGAGTTTTACAGATATATTCTAGAACAGGCCCCCCTTCTGAAACAACCAAGTGCTCAACTCTTGGTGGTCCATTGTGTGAAGGACATGGAAGCAAGCGAGTATATTCAGGGTAGCTGAAAGAAGATATGCTATCAAAGTCAGCAAACCAAAAGAGTAGGCACTAAAAAGGTAACTACATAAAGAATGTACAGTTTCTCATTGGTTAGGACGAAAAAGGGCAGAAATAAGATATGCACTCATTGGGGAATAAAAAGGATGCTTTGAGATTCTCAAACCATAAACAATGAGGAAAATAAATAACTTCGAACTTCATGAAATGTAGTTTCACTCAGTTTTAGTTAAAGCATCTACTTTCAAGTTTTAACCAATCCATATACCGAAATTGCAGATACTCAACAACATATAAGCAGTAAATATTAAAAACTTTGGATTCCAGCATCTTCATTTCCAATCAAAGTGCACCAAATTTCGACCAGTTTAGTAAAATGCTCACTTTCAGCAAAAGAAAATAAAAATAAAAAATTAGGCCAAAATCTCAGGCATTAAAGTTGGAAAATTTGAAGGTACCCATTTACAGAAGAAACGGCAGTTGGTTGGGTAACGTCTTGTTTCAAGGATTTGCATGCAAACGTAGTTCGTTTCTTTGAACTCCGAGAAAAACAAGCCACCTTAACATGCTTGTAGTTGTTGGCGTGTTCACTGAGAGCAACATGGGTGAGTGCTAACGTGCGCACAAGTGCCACTGGTGCACTGAAACTCCGGCAACCACTGGCCAACATTGAGGTAAAGCTCACAGACCCGATCTTCCCTCCAAGCCTGAAGCTGAAAGTACAGCTACCGCTGTGCTTGAGGTGATTTTGAGGCGAGGTTTAACTGAGATTTTGATTTCAGAAAATCGGGTACGAGTCGGGTTTTAACATTGCAAAGGGCCAGGTCCGTGAAACATGACCCAAGTTCGACCCACGACTGATTGGGCCTCTGTTACAAGAAATCAAACGGGTCAAAATTCAATGGGTCAAAGCCATTGAAGTCGCTTTGGGCTCTTTTCGTGCTGTCTCTGTTACTCTTTTTGTTTTCATTTTTCTCTCTTTTTGGTTCTGTCTGTGTTACTCTTTTAGTCCTCTCTCCTACTCATTGAGTATTATGTCATTGACTTGACCCTTCATGGTAGAGGAGAGTGGAGGAGAGGATCTAATTTAGCCGTAGTAGCCACACGCAGCAGCTAAAAGTAAGATAAGAACAAAAAACAGATTTAAGTAAGTGTAAGAAAAGCATGGAGATGGAGGGCTGGGTGTCAATGCCAAAGGTGGAACTTCACGCTCACCTCAATGGATCTGTCAGAGACTCCACTTTACTGTTTGCTCCTCTCTCTCTCTCTGTCTTTCTTGTAGTGGGTTATCTGCTGCTTTAAGCTTTGCTGTGTTTTTAGGAAGCATAATTTATCTTTGGTGTTTTGTTTTGGCTGCAGAGAACTTGCCAGAGTTTTGGGTGAGAAGGGTGTCATAGTTTTCTCAGATGTGGAGCACGTTATACTGAAAAGTACGCCCATTTCTTTTAATTGCTTATAGTTCTGTTTGGTTGCTGAGAAAACGTAGGAAAGAAAATCAAGCAAGGGAATTTATCTTTTCCATTCATCTTAAATTTTCCATTTTTATGCCTGGGATGTCAAAATCGTCAACTCAAATGTTCCCATTGCATATCAACTAAAGATTGAACTGATTTTCTACCTCATTTTTTTCAGTTCATTTGTACTAACACATGTTTTTTGGCAATGCAATTTCAATGTTTTCTTGAATCTTAACATTGGAACTCTATCTATTCTTGGACTCAGATGAACGTTCTTTAACCGAAGTGTTCAGGTTGTTTGACCTGATCCACATTCTTACTACTGACCACAAAATTATCACAAGAATTACCAAAGAAGTATGATAACTTTCCAATTTATTTAGTCTTTACTTCCAACATTTCAATGTTGATACTTGATACTAGATTTTCTCGCAAACAGGTTATTGAAGATTTTGCTTCTGAGAATGTTGTGTATCTGGAGCTAAGAACAACTCCTAAGGTGTCTTACTAAAACAAGCCAAGTGTATGAATTATTCCTACTAAAATGACCTATATTATATACTTGATTGATATGAATCATGATAATGATGTGTTTAAATCTATGCAGAAAAATGACTCCATAGGAATGAGCAAACGCTCTTACTTGGAAGCAGTATTGGAGGGTATAAAGGCTGTCAATACAGTTGATGTTGCTTTTAGGCCTCACAATGCTGATGTCAGCAATGTCAAGAGTTCTTCACTTATAAATGATACATGTAACGGAATTACAAGAAAAGAGATTTATGTTAGGCTTCTTTTGAGCATTGACCGCAGGGAAACCACAGAGGCTGCAATGGAAACTGTATGTCATGAAACTGTATTCTGAAGAAATATTTGAGCACATGTTTTTTTCTCAATGGACAATGCATTTGACTGTTTTTCTCATGTACTGTAGGTGAAGCTTGCACTGGAAATGAGAGATTTAGGGGTAGTTGGTATTGACCTTTCTGGAAATCCAGTTGTGGGAGAATGGTACTTAATCACCATTGAGAGTTTGTTGAAGAAGAGTGTTGCATTTTATATGTATAGTTATAATATAACCCTGTATATACGTATATTGTATCTGTGGCAGGATGACATTTTTTCCAGCATTAAAATTTGCTAGAGAGCAGGGTCTTTATATAACCCTTCATTGTGGAGAGGTGCGTTTGTTCTTCTAATGCCTGCAGCTTGTGCCATATAATCACCCTGATTAATTTATTTCTTTAAGCGCTTATAGGTTCCTAATCCAAAGGAGATACGGGCAATGCTTGATTTACTACCGCAGAGGATTGGTCATGCATGTTGCTTCGAAGAAGAGGAATGGAAAAGGTTGAAATCTTTGAATATCCCGGTGAGATAATTGTGCAACCAATCATTATAACTTATTATAACACAATTCTAGATAATAGCTTTTTTGATTGCCATAGGATAGATGCCAGTTCAATCTTAAAATATCCTTGTGGATGATAAGCTTTAGACATCAAATGCTGAGCTATTATTTCCAAATAGGGTATAGAGTTTCTGGCCAGTTCCATCTCTGCTTAGATACATTATAAGAAGAAACCAGGGACGAACATCTTTTAGTTTGCTCATGTACAATGAAACCTCTCATCTTTAATGCCTTTGTTTTAA